ACACCCCTTCCCCAGCCAAAATGACCAAGGCAGTGGTTAGAGCTGTTGTATGTGGAAGGTTTTTGTTGTCTGGTTGGAATTTTTTTCATTCCCCTCTGCCCCCACCCCCAAACACAGATTAATCAGGCTCCGTTGCTCCAAGAAGCACCTGGTATCACAAGGAGACTGTGAGGTAAGCCCACAGAACAGGTATGTTTGCTCTACACACCTGCTCAGGGCCCTCCTAACCTGCAGTCATCATGTGAAGCACAGAGTCCATACGTCACACTGAACACCCTGCTCTGCAGGGAGCTTATATTTTAACTGCTGTTAAACAGGAAGGGCACAGGAGTGAGAACAAAAGTTGAGGATACACTGAATGTGGTTGTCTGAGAAGAATCTGCACCCTGTGAGTATTCCTAAGTTTTTAAAGCATTAGATAAGCCTTTACTATCAAAGTTGGTATTCTTGTGAGTGTTGCTGCTCTGGAGCATTGCAGGTTGCACTCTGAGAGCCTACAGAGCACTCAGTTCTGAGACATTGGTGACAGAATTTCATGCCATAGACAAGAGTCAGGCTGAGATTTTTTTTTCAATGTATTTTTCTTTCCCTTTTCTAGTATGTGAAGTTCAGGCTAATTTCACTGCCCAAATTAAGTCTTAATTTACTTGTATAAACATTCATTAATCTGAGATGGTAATGGGGAACCAAATCTACCAATCAGCCCCAACTCTACCAACAGCAGGATTTTAGTTTTAGTGATGTGGTAAGCTGGCAGCAATATCATACACAAAATGTAACAGGATAAATGGCATCAACTTCCAAAAGGGCTGCTGTAAGTGTTTGAAACTTTGCACTCTCTCTGAACCCTTTAACATCAACATGCTCAGCCCAGGAGAGCACTCTGCATTATTGACAATATCCAGAAAAATAGCTCATGTGTTACAGTTTACTTTGATATTCCTTTGTAAGAAAGGGCTGCAGAGTAATTCCTACTGAATTCTGTGTTCCTGCAAACTGAAATAATTATTTGTGCATAACCTGTACTGCTTAGAGAGGCTTATGGCACTGAGTTTTATTGCCTTCCTTTCTCTGAACACCAACACTGGAATTTCTTAGATGTATCTTGTGTTCTTTGGAATGAGAGAATTTACATAGGGTAACATTTTTTGCCACGTTCTTCTAAGTTATTCTAGTAGCTAAAACAAGCATAATCCTGCTTTGAAAACTGTTTTTTCAGCTTTTAGAACTCACTATACCTTGCTGAAAGGTAGCAATTTTGTCTCAATTTAAAGGGAAGGAAAATGACTGACGAGCAGGGCAGTGATACAGCACAAGGCTCCTGAGTCCTACCATGTGTACTGTAGCACCTTCTGTAAAAAACAATCTAGTAAAAATAAGTTAAGATACAAATTTGGATAAAGAAATTCACCGAGTATCTACTTCAGCATAAAAAGTACATCTTGAAATCACTCTGAAAAAAAACAAAACTCCAAACCAAGCAATACCCCCCAAACCAAATGGGAAAAAATTGCCCTCAGAGCCTTTAGACTGTATTTAGAATAAAGTTTTTGTTTGATTTAGTTTGAACATGTCCAAAATATCTTCTCTGAGAAAAAAAATCAGGTGTGATTACAGCTGAGAAGAAATTGTGGTGATCTTTGGCTGTGCCAGGGGCCACTGTGTGGCCTTGTGCCAGGGTGCTGTGACAGGGGTTCCCTTCCATCCTGCTTTTGCTGCTGCCCCTTTGCAGTTACAAACAGGAGACACAAAGTGAGGGAAAATTACAAAACAAGTTTATTAAAGTCTAACATAAAACACTTCAGGCTAAATATGTACAACTCCCTCCCTTCCCAGGGGATTATAAAATTGAGAGTTGAGGTATATACAAATAACAGAGGAAAAATTGTATATACATAACAGATACTTTAAAAATAATTTAACCAAAAAAATCAGTTATTAGTCCTTATCTGAACTTAACTCTGCAAGGCTTATTGATAGCCTCTCCGGGATCACAGCCCTGAAATCCTTCATGTGGGATTTGTCCACACCTGAAAACTGTTGTGTAACTCATGGTTTCAGAAAGGTTGTCATGCTCTGTGCCTACTTGCAAGCACAGATTTGGAAGTAAGTGTCATACAAGGAGCTATTATCACATCAGTATCTCTGAGCAGCCAATTCAGAGATTTCTCAATGCGGATAAAACCTATTCAGGCAAAACTTGCACCAACTTCAGTGTAAAACTGACTGAACCAAGTGTGACAAATCATGTCATTTTCTCTGAATTACCATTAACAGAATGATTAAAATTCCCTCTTTCCTTTGCAGATAGTCTCAAGAAGGAGATGTCTGCCTAAGAAGATTCCATGCTTTCCCATATTAATCCCTTACAGAAATCACCAATACTGTTATAAACCTTTTACCTCCAAAATGAACCCAGAATCCTTAAGCCTAGGACTGAGATGTGCAGCTGATTTCCATGCATCTGTTGGCAAAAGGTACAGTCCAGACCTACAGCTCTCAGCCTGAACACACCTACAAATGTATTTATATATTTATATACTTCAAATCTATATTCTAGTTAAGTGAATACAGTTCATAGAGCTCATACCTCAGCAGCTGAGGTATCTTCAGGAAAGATGAGGATAAAAGTCAAGACTCTCAGATGGGGGACTCAAGAGTGCAGGTCACTAAATTATTGCTCCAAGACAAAACTACAAGCCTGTGTTTTCTATTAAGAAAGGTTAAAATTGTTGTCTTGTAAAAAATAATGATTATCTTCTTGTCTATAAAGAAAACTAAATGGCTAATAAAGCAAGTGTTACTGTTATAAGTATCTAAACAAATCCTGTATAAATCTAAGCACTGTATTTTTTTAAAAAGTCTGAAATCTAAGAATACAGTAATAAGCTATAACTTTAGAAATATAAAAACAGTCCAAACAAACATTGTCATGGAATGCATTTTCTATGTAGGAATGTAATTATTCTTTAGGGTTTTTTTTTTCCAGAGATAGTTCTCTCTCATGGTCATTTATCCTGGACATGTTTATCTTCAGCTACTTTTCCTCAGGCAACAGCAGCATATCATGAGTTTATCTTCCAAAGCTGTTTAAATATGAAAGTTATCACTTGTCTGGTGGGTTTTTTCTCAATTATTCATGACTAAACCGATGTCTATCCCAAGAATTCTGCTCTGTTGTCAGAGAAAGGAAAGAGGAAGCTTAGGACAAGATACACAGAGTTAACTTTTTTACACAGAGTAAAGACCCCAATCTTTATGGTTCTTCAGCCTCAAATGGAAAGGCTAAGAAATCCCTCAGGGGCTGAACCAACAACAGGAGCTAAAGGAGAAAAGAGAGGAGGAAAAGGGGAAATGCAAAACAAACAAGAAAAAAATAGAGAACTTCATTCTTTGTCCTTTGCCAAGGACATCAGCTGTTCCTAAATTTTGTGGGACAGATAAGCAAAGAAAATGAAGGTCAGTCAGGTCTGGCAGCAATGATCTGCAGTGGACAGAGTTGGAGATTCCTGCATTAAGGATGTTTCTGGTGAACATGGCTGTTCTCCTGCTGCCCATGGTAACCTTATCAGCAAATTTACCATATATTAAAGCATAAAATATGATCATGCAGCAGGTTTTAAATGTGCCATAGACTAAGATGACCAACACAAAGAAGCAAAAGGTCTAATTATTTTACAAGTACAAACAAACAGGAAAAGAAAAATAAATCTCTAGTCATGCTCAGGAGTCAAGGGATCATTTGCAGAATATTTAAATGAAACCCTCCAAGAAATTTTTCACAAATCTGTTTAATTAAGGTGCAGATTAATTATTACTCCATGTAGAACAGAATCAGTTAAGAGGTATCTGCTATGCTCTTTTATTTATCAGTGTCTGGACACAAGGCATCAGTGGAAATAAACACTAGCACCAAGTAAATAACCAACAAATTAGAGCTTGAAATGCATTTTTGGTGCAGTATGGTGACTGTTTCATTACTATTGGATGATTATTTAAGTAATGCTTACACTGCTAATGGCACAGACTGGCAAAATGGAGTATAAAAGTACTCCTGGTGTCACCTAGCCTTTATGACCCTGCCAAGACACTAAAAACGTTGCTTTTTTAACATGTCTCTCACTAGTAATAATGCATAACTTTACACAGGCCTTGCTAGGTACCAGTTTTGTGCAGTTACTGTGGACAAGTGACACGAGAGGTAAAGCAATACATAAAGACCTCAATTAAAACAAATCAGTCATACTCTAACCCAGCCTTGCCTGGAAGAATATCCATCTGCTTTGTTGCATTACTCTTTAATGCCCCTCATGTAGTGTTCACTTATTATTTTCACAGTGAAGGGCAAGATTTATTTCTTATTTTGTACCTCCTGTCTAGCACAAGAAGCAGCACTACTGTAAAAAAAGAGGATTATGAAGCCCTGATTCAAGCCTCACAATTAAGTTACTGCATCTTTGCATCTCATTTACAACATGCATGTCCAGCTCTCCTTTTGCTGCTGTTTGTGCCAAAACTGGGTGTTTTAGGGATGTGAAAAGTAAATCTGGGACAAGAGACAACAGTGCTGGATTCACTTAAAAAGACCAAACAAACAAATAGTGACTTGTTGGAAAGAAGATCCAATAGTATCTATGCCATTAGGACCCTCTGACTTGACACACAACAGGAAAACATTAACCCTCCTTTACTTGTCTTGTCAGGAAAATACACCCAAACCTTCCTTTCTCTCTAGTCAGGCTTGACCTGAAGTTGGCTACTTCTGGCAGGCACAGCAAGGCTTTGCAAGCACCTCATGCCCTGCCTTCATCCTGCACCCATCCAGCACCCTGGAGTGCAGGAATGTTGATACATCCAACAAGCCTGTTAATACATCCAAATTAGGATTTTCCCTTCCACCTCTGGGTTAACTATCAAATATGGCTTAAAATATCTGCTCTCAAATGACACTGTGACACATAAAACCAGCAAGGACATGGGAGGAGATCTCCAAAATACCGTAACACAGGTAACAGAGAATTCTTAAGGCAGGTGTTGCTGAAAAGGAATTGTCTCCTGGAAATCAGTGTTAATTACAAATAGAAATCTGATTGTAGATTAGCACAATTCAGCACTGCATGATGGAAATGCCTTACAAGTGTCTTTACACAGAGGAAAATAAAAAGAACAAGTCCAATTCAGAGAGTGTGACTGCTTGTTTGATCATGTTCATCTTACCAAATGTCTACAAGTTCACTACCAAACTACCTTGATGGCTCTGCACTGCTCTGTCAGTATAACTGCTGCAAGAAAATGAACTGAGGTTCTGAATATCCAGTCACAGCAGATCTCAGTAATGTTTCTGAGGAAGGAGACTGACTGCCCGACACGGGAAGCAGCATCTGATGGTCTTCAGTCCCAATGGGAAGAGGAAGTGCTAAAGACATCTCAGAGGGTTTCACATCTATGGACTCCGATAAAGGACTTTTCTGGCTCTGAATGGATTCTTGTTCATTGAAAGAGTTATCAAGTGCATTGGAATCAGGGGGAGTTTCAGGTCCTGAAGGAAAGAGAGAAAGAAAAGAAATAAATGTTCAAAAGCTCCTCTGCAAATTCCCTCTCAAAAGACTGTCAAAGCCAACACCTGGTGTGTCACAGGCTGCCTGGGCAGCTGGGATCTTGGTGGCTTCTGTGTGCCACAAAGCCAGAACGAGCTGTAAGCACTGGGAATCACATCTGCTGCTGCTTGTAGTGTGACAACCAGAAGGATGATGCATTTCAACCTGGTCTCTACTTGGGATGGCACAGAACAAAACAAATCCTTAACATCACAGTGAACAAAGGCCCTTTGGAAAAAATGTTAACGATGAAGGTTTCCTTGAGATTTTCCACCCCAGAAAATGTCAGATCCAGAGTCACATCCAAGCATCCTCTTTTAACTGAGACAGCACTGTACAATGTATCATTTATCCACAAACTTCCTGGGGAGAAAACATTTGTTAACTCCACTCCAGCCAGACATATTACAAATTTTATCCAGTCACTTGAGAAATTACTTTCCATTCTTAACTGAAATCCTTGCTAACGGGTTCCTTGCTGCCTTCCCATTTGATGCAGCCCCCCATGCTGCTGGATAGCTCTGATTGAGCCACACTGGGTATCTGACCAAAATTTGGTATCCTCTGTCAAAGCATGCTCCAAATCCTGTTACATAAGAGCTGAGGCACTCTTGTCTCCTTCTGTCTTTCCATGAGTGCTGTTCTGCCCTGGCAACTCTGCCAGCTCACACCCTCCAGCACTGCCAGGCCCTCTCCATGCTCACTGCTGCTCCCACCTCACCCTTGCTTCCACTGGCTTCCTGCTGCACTGGTGCCTTCCCAAATTCAGGGCTCTCTCTGCATATGGCTCTTGTTTTCTCACCCTCTTCCTCCCAACCTAGACATACACAGGCACCTATTACACCCTTTTCCATATGACAGAGACAAAGGATTTATGGTCAGTACACAAGGATGGACAGATGATGAGGTGTCTGGAGCCAGTGCTGAACAGATTTAGAGCAGGTTTAGAGCAGACTCTTTTGGCTCTGAAAACAACTATTATCCAAAATTCTTTCATTTCCTAATTTTAGGCCTGAATGAGCAAAGAGATTTATTCAGCATCGAAAGCAAAACAGTTGATGTAGTTTCCTAACTTTTCCTTGCACAAAGAACGTACCTGTGTGAACTTTCATTTTGTGCTTCTTAAGGTTTTTTATATCTGTGTAAGAATTCCCACACATTTCACAGATAAATGGTCTTTCACCTGAAAAAAAATTGGTTTGGCAGTTAGAATAATCTGGAAATTGAACTAAAACACAGTCAGAGATGTAGGATAATGGATTCCAGGTTTCTATTGTAAAATACAACTTTAACTCTGTTGTTTTGTCTATGTTCAGAATAAAATTGTTTCCTGAATAATAGATTAAAACAGAGCAAAACACCTTAAATGTCAGAAGTGAAGCCTTGATCATACATAACACCTATGCTGTGGCACAGACACTACTCTGAAAAGGCAATTAAAACAATTAATGACTATTTTCTTTATACTAAGTTAACCCAGAGATGCATAAATTAAGAAACTCTGCTGCTCTGGAGTACAGCCCAATATGGTATATTTTAAAGGCAAAAGGGTAAAAGTAGAGCATAATTTATAGTGCAGGAAGCAGCTTGTCTGCAAACTGACCTGTATGGGACCGAAAATGCTTATTGAGCTCTCCAGAGGAAATAAAACTCTTCTCACAAATGCCACAGATATATGGCTTCTCTCCTGCAGGAAACACAAGGAGTTTGTTATTCCAATATATAAACCAGAATGCACATAAAGAACAAATCAAAATGAAATGGAAGTCACTTCCAGTGGGACAAAGAGCTCCTTAAACTGGAATCGAAAGGGAAAAAACATGAGAAAGGAGCTGGATGACAACTCCCAACCGACAGATTTCCAGGTCATTAACCATCTCCAACCCCTCTGCAGGATCCAGTCCTCCCTCCCCAAGCCTTGAGGCACTGCAGCTCTCCATTCCCTCACCTGTGTGTTTTCGGGAGTGGGTGATGAGGGAACTGGAGACAGCAAAGGCTTTCCCACAGCTGTCACAGACGTAGGGCTTCTCCCCAGTGTGGCGCCGCACGTGGTAGGTGAGCGTGCTGGCCTGGGCGAAGCGCTGCCCGCACCGGTCACACACATAGGGCTTCTCACCACTGTGCTTCCTGCAACGACACAGCCAGCTCCAGCTGGGAGGGGAGCAGCACCACGGCTGAGGGACCTTCCTCAGTTACTGCTTTATCCCCAGAGCTCCTGCTAATGTTCTGCTGCGCTGGGAGCAGCACATCCCTGACTTCCATGGCAGCTGAACTGAACTACAGGCCCTGCATGTGTAACAGGCACCATGGGAACTCAGCATGCTTTGCACTTTAGTGTACTGAAAGATAAGATGATGATTCCTAATGAGTGAGTATCATCGCTGCTCCTGCCAAAAATGCCCAAAGGCCCATGCAGACAGCAGGGCGGACTGTTCTGTCGCTTCCCACCATGGAACTCTCTCCTCTCTGGTGCTACAAGCAGTGTAAAACAAACCCTGCATCACTGCCATGAGGATACCATGGCTGGAACATTCATACAGCACAAATCCCTTCTCCAATTAACAAGTACAACCACGTAGTTATTCAGTTAGGCACTGTGAGAGAAGTCTCGTGAGAAAAGGAGTGGAAATGCCCAAATTACATGAATATACAACTCTTGCTCACACTGGAGTAAACGTTTCTGTTTCATAAACCCAAGGACAAGCATTTTCAGGATCTCACTTGTGCCTACCTGGCATGAATCTTCAGGTTGCTCGAGGTTGCAAACTGCAGGTTGCAGACATCACACTTGTATGGTTTCTCTTCTCCGTGATGCATCCTGCTGTGGAACACCAACTGGCACTTCTGAGCAAAGCCTTTGTCACACAGTTCACACTTGTACGGCTTCTCCCCTGGTGAAAAATAACACCCTTGTGCTCTCTGCATTTACTTAAGAAAGCTTTGCAATCCATGACCCCATCAAAGCTCAGGCGTCTGTTCTAATACTTCTTAGAAATATCATGTTGGGACATCCTGTAATCAGTCCACTGAAATGGAATGTGCTAGAAGCACAGAGGATAACAAGAATACTTTTTAACACATTATATTTGAGGGACATAAAGATAATAATGCTTTTATTAGTGCCACTTTCTCCACATTTTTAGACTTTTTGCTGGTTACGTCTATTCATCATTCTGAACGTTCAGGATGAACCAGTAAATCATCTTCAATGTACAGTCTAGTGCTCCCTAATTTCTCATTAGTGACTGCTGCAGAATGCTACAGGTACTTCTCTGACCACTCTCATTCTCTTAGAGGTGAACAGTCTCCTGTAAGGGCTTGTGCAACTCTGCAGTCCTAGATGGCAGTACAAAGGAGCCTCTCAGTGTTCTTACGGCAGTGCACACTCAAACCACAAACTCAACAACTCATAAGCACACTGTGTACATAAAAACTTCAAAAGTAAAAGTATTAGACATCTAACTTGCCACCTAGCAAACAACACCATGGAATTCTTTACCTACTCATGCGAAAACTCCCAGGACAATACCCTCAGAAATACAAAGTGCAGCTGACATTCCTACCAGCACCATCCCTGAATTCTGCTCACACACTCTACCTTCCATGTGAATCTTTGCTTACACCCTGGCTGACAGTGTTTGAAATCCTCTCCCTTGGTCACAGAAAGAGCAAGGTGATCTCCTGCAGCTGTACCTCAACACCTCCTGCTCTGCCTCTGGACATCCTCACAGCTGCCTGGAAACAGCCCCACTGCTCAGAGGGGAAAGAGCAAAGAAAAGTTTTTTGTGTGATTCACTGTTACTCCACAATTCTGAATGCATCCACAAAAGGGAGAAAACTACATAGAGCAGGTGTGTCTGCACCTCACTGGGCTCAGGACAGCAGCACAGGAAGCAGTGAAGCCAGAGCAGCCTGAAAACAAACTAACTGGGTATCATCTCCATCTCTAGGGAGGAACATACTGAAGGACAAGCACAGTACTTCTCCCCTCCATCTTTCTAGACTCCAGCAATTTGCTTTTCATTATCTTTGTAAGTCAGACATGTTGTCTTAAAATGTTTAAATGTGCATAATTGATTTCTCTTTGGTGCCTCACACAACACAAACTCCTGGAAATGTTACTGACTGCAGAGATCATAACACCATCACACATTTCAGCTGCACATTTTACTACATGAAGTCCCAAACAGTGTAGTAATTCAGCCAACTACCCTAATTTTTTTGAAGACGCTATGGGACAAGTTACCGTCTAAAGATTGCATTTTTTCCCACTTTTGTTCTCAAACATGCATCATGTTTTGAAGTTTAAAAAAAGGCAACAGAAATTCTGGTATCAAGTACAGTGAGCTTTTCGTGCTCTACTGGCAATAGTTTTTGGCACTCCATCACTTTACAGAGCTAAGAACAGACAGCTCTTCTTTCCAGAAATCAAGATGCTCAGACTAATAAAGTCCTCTCTAGCTACTGAGAGCATAAACTATGATTCTGTAACTGAAAAATGCTGAAACATTTCGTGTAACCAGGTGCTATCCCTGAGTACCAGCAGCAAACAAAATCTCAAGATAAGAAGCCAGAAAGCAATCCTGTATTCACAGGCTGTGTTGATTCCAGGTTTCCATGCCCGTGAGACCAATGGCTTACCTGTATGAGTTCTTACATGTGTTTTCAACTGATTGCACTGGGTGAATGCCTTCCCACAGAGCTGACACACGTAGGGTTTCACCCCTTTGTGTATCCTCATGTGCCGACGGAGGCTGCTCGCTTCCGAGAACACTTTCCCACAGGTGTTGCACACTGGCTTGGCTTTGGGGTACTTCTGGTCAAGCTCCTCTCCTGAGCTCTCCAGCTGGTAAGTGCTCTTGTCACTGGCTATGTTGGACATGCAGTGCTCCTTCAGGGCACAGCTCTGCTGGGCCTTTCCACGTTTCTGTTTTGCTGCAAGGCTCTGAGCCAGGATATCCTGCGCTGCCAGGGTTTCGCTTTCCACCACAGCTGCCAGCTGCAGCTCCGAGTTATCACTGCCCTGGGCAGCCTGTTCTGTTATCTGGGTGGCCAACTTATTTGCATCTAAAAACATCTCAATGGATGTGTTCTCGGTCAAGTCGTTCTGGTACTGTAGGGACTTAGTCTCTATGCTTTTGGGGGGGCTGAAATTCTTCCTTCGCTTCTTGGGTTGAGGTGATTTCTTTTCTAACGCCAATTTCTTTGCCTGTGGTTGAACCAACTCTGCAGCAGCAGCAGCATCTGCTTTCTCCCGATTATTGTAATCTCGGAGGGTCAGGAGGCAAGTCTGCTGATTCATTTCAACATTCCCAGTGATACTGGATGTCTCTGTGGAAGAGGGACTAGCAATGAAAGCAAAGTCCTCCATCTTGATCTTGCATTTAGTGACCACTTCTTCCACTTTGAGATAGTCAGCAGCCTGGTGAATCTCTTTAACATTCCAGCTACAAGAGAATGAGACTTGGGTGAAACATTCTGGGCAAAGCCAACATTTTTTCTGTGCCATCTGTATCACACAGAGCTACAGGAAAGTTACACTGTCAGAAAATGTGACTTTGAGAACACGCAGCAAAATCTCATCTCTCAGTGCTGTAGTGCCACAGGGCACTAGGGTGATAATTCCTCCTGAGCTGATGGCACATGTCTACTGCAGAGCCTCAAACTAAGGATTTTATTTCCATCACATGCCTTTCGTGGAATTTTAAATTAAAAGTCCAGTTGTAAGGTGGTGAGGCTAGACACAGGGTTGTTGGTCCAAAAAGCTCAGAAATCACAGCACAAAGGGATAAAACACTGGAGACTCAAATGCATAAATTACAATTCCATAATCCTCCTGGCAAACTCTCAGGTAATTCACAATCAGCACATTCACCTCAGCACTTGTGGCAGATATTAGTCTTGTTTTATAAAATGATTTGCAAACAGTTTTAATTCTATATCAGCTGCACTCAGACATCACTGACACCAAGGAATTAATTTAAACCACTACACTCTGTTTTCCAGTTCCTGCACCACAGGTCTTGATGGTTTAGAAAAAACTGATCTGGAAAAGGTGGCAACATGTGCCATGAATGCATTTATGGATTTACAGCACTTTAAAGAGAGATTCATGGTAAACAGCATCATTCTGACAATCTATGTAATTGAACAGTAGGTGACTTGCCACAATTACTCTCTGTACATGAATACAACTGTTTCATCATCTTGTACTACACAAAGACTGGGTTTAAAGTACCCTCCAGGTGTCACCATCACTGGGGACAACAGACTTTGCAGACAGTTGCAGCAGTCACCTGAAGGGACACAGGACAAGATGACAGGTGCACATGTGCAGACCCACAGGAATCAGCCAAATAGTCCTCCCTGGGTAAGACTGGCACTATCACTTTCCTCTTCCTCCAGAGATCTCATCTGCTCAGAAATTCCAGAAACTCTCCTGCTGCAGTCCCAGGCAGACACCAAGAACTTTGCACACTTCTGCTCATACATCCTCGGCAAAGCATCAATCCCTAAGCTCAGCACATGACTGTGCACTGCTCTACTGCTGCTAATGCTTGTAGCTAGTTTAAAAGAAATAAACACTCTGCATCTGTGTACTTAAATTATTGAGCATGAGTTTTCAGACTTTAGTAGGAACACAGGTTTTTTTAAGCCTTCATTTGACACCAGACATTGAGAAAGGAGTAAAAATCCTGGACCAGGTACTTCTAAGTAGCCACAGTTCCCTCATGAAGGATAATCTCTTTCACTGAGAAAAAAGGACTGCAAAGAATCCTCTCTGGACATGATGCAACACAACAGGCACAGAGTCAATGCAGTAATGGGGGAACCACTTTTTCTGTGACTCCTTTTGGGCACTGTAATATGATTTTAAGTAAAAGAGAAGGCAAATTCTAACAAACAATCTTTTATTCTCACCAACTCCTCAGACTTTAGCCTCCACCTCACACACAGCTTCTGTGTGTGCATAAGCAACTACTGCAATTCACCTTCAAAGGAACACAAAATATCCTACCCTCTCCTGGGAATCATGCAGGACATTTAATCCCTGCCATCCCAAACAAAAAGACCAGGAGACTGAAAGTGAAATACAAGACAACACACCTCTGTTTTGACTCTCAAATGGTGTTTTAAAACAAACAGATGAACTCCAAGTTGCTAATATATATCACATCCACTGCTATTTGTTCCTCCAGCACTTACTGCAAAAGCACAAGAAAATCAGTTCTGCCTTAACACAAAGTTTATCTCCCTATTCCCTTCTCCCACTTTAACAGCTAAGTTACCTGTCAAGGTTTAGGTTTCCCGTATAGATAAATTCCAGGAGCTTCTGGAATCCGTCTGCTTTCACTTGAGACTGATCCAACACAACGTTGTTGTCAGAGGTGTCCCTGTAGAAGGCCCCGAAGTACTCGCTGAAGGAGGCAAGGACGTTCCTGTGTGCCTTGAACTGGAATTCCCCGATGACCACGGTGCAGTCGCAGAGGAATCCTGCTTCCCTCTGCTTGTTCAGCCTCTCCAGCAGGTGCTCACAGTGATGGGAATACTGCATTTTGAGAACGAGCTACAGCCACTTTGGTCTGAGCTGGGAAAGCAAAAAAACCCATTTTACACGCAAGATTACACTTTCTT